TCAAACCCTAGATCCGAGACTCTCTCTCTCTAAACTTACACTCTCTCTAAGATTTGATCTCCCTAGAGTGTAAATCGAAGCTCTCAACGCCCTCTATCTTTTTAACAAAGGCCCTAGGCTAGATTCACACTCTAGGGAGATCAAATCTTAGAGAGAGTGTAAGTTTAGAGAGAGAGAGTCTCGGATCTAGGGTTTGAAAGAAAAAGAAAGTGAAAAACTGATGTTCAAAAACGCTACTGTCCGCTGATATAAAACACGCTCGCTCGAGCAAAGACTTTGTCGCTTGAGCGACCAGACACAGAAAACTCTCGCTCGAGCCAAGAAGTTCTCGCTCGAGCCGAAAACTCAGAAGTGCGCTCGAGCGAAAGAATGCTCGCTCGAGCCAACAACTCAAACCCTCAGGTCTGCAACCAGAAGCACGCTCGAGCGACAGACCGCTCGCTCGAGCGAAGAACAAACCAGACCGCTTGAGCGAAGAAAGCTCGCTCGAGCCAAGAAATGCAGCTCTCAGGTCCAGAACCAGACGCAATCGATCGCTCGAATGAAGCCACTCTGGCTCGACCCACCAGACACGAACTCAACTCTCGCTCGAGCGACCAACTCCTCGCTCGAGCGAAGGCCCAAAAATCTGGACAGCAACACTAGGCTCCTAAACATAACCAACCTGTAATAAACCTGCCCAACACATCCTATAACTCAAATACAAAGTAGTAACGGATGTAAATAAGACAATAATCAATTACTATCACCCACGGTCACATGTCCGGATCACTGTACAACAAGGGTAAAACCGGGATCGCTATAGGAAAGCTGGAGAGGATCCGGACTCGTGAGAGATATGCCTAGGTGGGGTGAAGAAAAAAAAAAGAAAAAAAAAAAGGTTGACATATTAAAAAAGTGTTGTGGGTTTGAAAGAGGTAGGGCATCTCTTGGCGCTTGGGTCTTAACTTGGATAGATAGAAAAAACAAATGACCTATGAGAGATAATGAGATGAGTGTGATTAAAAAAAAAAAAATTGGGAAGGGTGATGGGTTTAATTAATCAATTGTGGAGGACGGGTTGTGATTAAAAAAATAATTATGGATTTGGGAGAATGGAAATCTGAGAGAGAGAAAATGAGACGGGGAGCAAATAAGATGGGTTTAATAAAAAAAATGAAGAGTGGTGATGTATAGGGAGAGAGAATAGATTTCAGAGAGAAAAGAGAGAGAGAATGGGGATGAGGCCATTTTCATTTGGCCGGATGAACAGCCACCAGAGAAGAGAGACGATAAAATGAGAGAGAGAGAAGATGAGAGGCAGTGGTGGTGGGGTGGTTGGTGGTTGTGGTAGTTGGTGGGAGTGTCGCAAGAGGAGAGATGGAGGACAAAAAGGGAAGAGGTAGAGGAGAGAGAGGTTTGGGCTTAGATTTTGAGGTGAGAGAGAGCAAAGAGGTTTTGCAGAGTGATGATTTAAGAGGAGAGAGAGTGAGAGCATTTGGGCGAAAAATAAAGACATCTCAACGATTGAATTTTGGATGAGACAATCTGAATCATTGAAACAAAATATATCTCTGGTACATTTTGGACATTTTCAAAAACTTTCTTGCTATATTAGGTTTTGTTTGAGATGTGGATTGACTTTTTGGCCTCGAGTTAAAAAGTCTAGTTTGGGATGGACTTTTTGACTTTTTTTGGTTTTTCTAAGAGAAAAAATGAAATGATTATAATTTGGATGTGATATTTTGTCTTATTGATTTTTTTGTCTAATTTTTTTTTTGGGGGACTATTTTAGCCAAAAATCCAACCCAACTATATGCCAAATGACTGCTATATAGATTTGAGGCCCCGTTCGTTTTTAGAAGTAGAATGGAAGTGATTGATAGTGAGGGGACTAATAGTGAGGAGACTAATAGTAAGGGGATTAAGTAAAATTATGTTTATTTTGATAGTAGTTGTTAATGTGGGAATTGTTAAATTATTACCCTATAAAAGAAATATAAAATATTAAAACAAATAAAATTATGATTTTTACTTAACAAAAAATACAAAAATATTAAATAGTAATGTTTAAAAAAAATGCCCAACATGTAAATAAAAAAATCTAATTCCATGGGACTAATTTTCTAACATCATCTCCACTTCTTTCATCTCAATCCCAACACCCTAATTTTTAGAGGTAGAATGGAGGAGATTGATAGTGAGAGGATTAATAATGAAGAGATTGTTAGTGAGGGGATTGATAGTGAGGGGATTAAGTAAAATTGTGTTTATTTTGATGGTAGTTGTTAGTGTATGGATTGTTAAATTATTTTTATATAAAATAAATATAAAATAATAAAACAAATAAAAAATACAAAACATTAAACATTAATTTTTTTTTAAAAATGCCCAGCATGTAAAAAATTTAAAAAAAATAAAAATAAAATAAAAAATTTCTAGAAAAAAATAAAACAAATAAAATAATGATTTTTACTTAACAAAAAATACAAAAAATTAAACATTAATGTTAAAAAAAATGCCCGACATGTAAAAAATAAATAAAAATAAAATTTTTTTAGTCCGCCGGACTATTTTTCTAATACTAAGTCTTGGAGGCCCTCCAACTCCCCTTGGGGAGCCCAATTCTAATCCGGAGCTCACTATCAATCCCCTCCCCATCTCTCAAAACAAACACAATATTAGTAAGTCCTACCTCACTACTAATCCCAATTCTCCCTCTAACTCTCCAAGCAAACGGGGCTATAGGATTATAAATTTCCTTTCCATCTCTCAAAACAAATATAACGTATGGTGCGTTTCACTTCCATCTCAATTCCACACTTGTCTTCCAAAACAAATGGGGTCTGAAGACTATCAAGTTTTGGAAGGCCACGATAAGCTCTATGTTTGGGATTCCAAAAGTTCGCTTTTAAGTATTTTTGTGTAGATAAGTTTAAAAAAAAAAAAAAAAATTATTGATAAAACGTAGTCACATAATTTTTGTATATTTTTTTAAAAAATAAATAACAAATATAATTTAAAAAATATATCGTTAATTTTTTAAAGATGGATACATTAAAATTATATAATTATATTTATTGAATTAATATAATTTTTTCAAAAATAATCTAAACACAAGTACTTAAAAATAAATAATTCAAATTAACGAAACGGAAGTTGAGGGGGACTCACAAACCAAAAATTCGACGGTTTAATCCTATAATCCTTTAGATGACTAGAGAGATGTCAAGGGATATGTACAGAAGCATATTTTGAAGGCGGAGGCCGACGCGATCGGCGGAGGCGACGCGATCGGCGGCGGGAGGCGCAGGCGATGCGACCTCTCTCTCTCTTTCTCTCCCTCTCCCTCTCCCTCTCTCTCTCCCTCTTCCTCTGCATTGCAGAGGTCGAAAATGGCGGAAAAAAAGAAAGAAAAAAAAAAAAATCGGAATGCCCAAAACGACGTCGTTTTGGGCATTCGGGGCATTCGAGCCAGGCATTTCGGGCCCTCAAACATTTTCCTATATCTTATATTGTAATAGTAACTGCACTCTCTTTTTGAAAATTTTTATCTTCTTTGGTTTCAATTTTTTAAATTCAATTTTTTAGATATTGAGTTATTTATTTTATTTTTTATATTTTTTTGTTTTTAATAACTTTTTTTCAATATTTTAAATAATTTTTTTACTTTTTAGATACACTTAATATAAATACAATTAAAAAGTATAATATTTATAAAAAAAATTATAAAAAATTAATACCAAAAATAAAAAAATACAAAAATTCAGTATATATTTTAATATTTTTATGTATTTATTGATTATTTAAATATTTTCTTACAAATATTTTATTTTTTAGGTGCATCTAATTACCTAAAATATTAAAAAAATTCATTAAAAATAAAAAACTCAAAAATAAAAAACTCAATTTAAAAAAAAATTGAATTAGAAAATTGGAGCTAAACAAATTTGTTAGAATAAGATCAAGTCCATATAAAAAGACGTTCAAAATTTAAGTCCCTTGGTTATTAAATTGGGAGCTAGCTTCTTTTCCGGTCCATAATTTGGATTGGAAATCATTGTTTGAGACTACGGATCCCATCTCAATGTCGAACCATTCATTTTATTAGGTACTTTATGTACATTATCCATACAAAAAATTACATCGATTCGATAATTATTTTTTTCGCTTTTGTAATGAATAAATAAAAAAAACAAATGAACTATTTTAAAAATATAATTGTTGTCCATTTTTTTGTTGACAAACACGATAAATTGAATAAATTACGATTATCGGATCAACTTAATTATTTAAAAAAAAAATGATATAAGAAGTGTCGAACAAAATGAACTATTCGAATAATTGAACCAATACACTTGATGCACTTCACAATCTAGACTAGTTCCATACAATCCAAATTATGAACCAGAGAAAATTCATCTTCTTTAAATTTTGAGAGCTGAGATCCACACTTTATACGTCTTTTTCTCTCACCCCAAACTTATACCAAATCTTTCCATGAGCCGTCTTGCTAGTCCCGATTAATCCACCAACTCGATCAATGCTCGTACTCCTGTCACTCTATATCCAAATTTAAAATGTTAGAAACGCTAAATATTTTACTTAATTTTTTACAAAATATTCACATTAGATGGGTTTCACATGAGCGTGGATCTCACTCCCTCATGTGGTTAAATCTTTGGTAAACTTTTTGTATGCCTAACATTGCTCACGGTGCTAAAATCTTGGAATCTCAATAGTATCATTTTTTTTTTATTCTGCAGACTTACATCTTTAAAAGGAATGATTTGTCTCATGTTGAAATTTCAACTGGATCACATAGTTAAGATTTTTTACCAACCAAAGTTAATCAACGGAGTTCTCTTACAAGTCAGAATTAATGAAAGGGTTCAACTAGAGCATGAGTTAGAATACTGGGCCAAGGAATTTCACAATTTCATTAAAAAATCATGTCATTTGGTCCATGGTGGGGAAAATTGCAATTCTATGGTATTGATCTATAATTTTTATGATACTACATAGTTGCATTGTCATGAATTTCCTTGGCCTTGACATGCTTCAAAATAGATCTATTCATTATTTTTCTATAGGTTTATTTGTTGTTGTTTTTTTTTAAATTTATTTTTTATTTTTAATATTGATCTTTTTTTTAAAGATCTTGAAAAGACAAACACAATTGGTTTGTTTTTCAGAAAAATTTTTGAGAAAAATTCTCTACAAACAAATTTTCAAGAGTAATCAAACTAAACAAATTTTTTTCAAAAAAATCTCAAAATTTTGTTTGGTTACCTACTTTTCAAAATCACACACTCTCTCTCATACACATCAAATCAATCACTTTTTTTAAAACTCTCTCCCCAAAACAATTTTTCAAAACCATTTCTGAAAAAAGACAAACCAAACAAGTTTTCGTACTTTTTATCTCAAAAATTACTTTACAAACACAAACCAAACATACCCAAAAATATGATTTTATTAAAAATTGATATATGTAGTAAAATTTATGACATCTTAAAATTTTATGAACACTACGCATAGAAAGGTAAATATGTCAAAAAAATTCTTTGCCATAAAATGTTTAGACTTGCAAATGAGAAAGTGTTGTGCATGTCAGCTTGTAACTAAGAAAAACCAAAATTTGGGTCTCTGCCACAAAACAATCAATGAGCGGGACTGTTGACCAATTTTTCCTACATTTATTCATTTTTCTTGTGATTGTTTAATAACTAATGTAAGTAAATTTCTCCTTTATAAAAGTTAAATTTATTTTGTTTGATACACTTTTGTTTTTTTTTAATCTCGTTTTGCTACACTTATCAGCCTTCTAATAATTTTTTTGACTTCTTCCTTACATCTTAATATATGGACATGAGTACAATAGGGGGTTGAGAATCCATATAACGTGGAGCAAAAGTTATAGAATTATGGCTTATCTTCTTTGACATCAAAGATCAAATAACTCAATTTTTTGATTAGCAAAATAAAATCTACATTAATAAAAAATACTTGTATTCTCAAGAAATAACAAAAACTCTCTTATTGTGATTGTTAACATAATAACTCTTAATTTTGTTGGCTTCTACTGCAACGATATTCATGTAGTGAGATTCTATTTCTGCATTATTTCAAGCTCATTTTTCTAGCTTTGTATAATAGATTCATGAGCATTTTGGGTTTGCTCAATTCTAATGATATCGAACCATATATGTATTTTTAGGTGATATCTAGATAGTATGTGGAAATAGATTTTACGAAATGCTTCCCCATATGTTTTTGGCTCGAGATAGATTGCAAGCTTATCTCATAAAAATGCATCATCTCATTAATTTTTGTTGTTGTGGACAAACAGATCTCTTGCAAGCTTATCTCAATTCATGATTTGGTGAATGTATTCTACAATTTCTTTAAATAAAGGTAACTTTTGTCTACTATAATCTTCAATTCTTGTTCTCAAACTTAAATGCACAAGTTCCAAACTATGTTTGATCAACTAATTGGATTAAAGACAAAATTCATTTATATGGTCAGAAAGGTTCTGTATGATTTTGGATTAAAATACAATTGTTAATTTTTCCATCCACAGTAACGGAAGGTGTATCACGCACACTGTTTTTTAAAGTGACTTGATTATAAAAAAATAAATTGAAATTAACACAATAAAGAGACAATTTTATCTTGATCTTCTCCAAACTTAAAATTAGATTAAGATGTAATTAAAATAAAATAAAATATATAATTATGGATTGACCTAAAATATAATGAAAGAGTGATTTAAAATATAATTAAATTAACATATAAAATATATAATTATTAAGGATTGATCTAAAATATAATTGAATTAAAATTAGATAAAAATAGGACAATTTTAATTTCAAATTGTTCTTTTTTATTTTTTTGGATAAATAATTTCAAATTATTCTACTTTCAATTCGCCAATTAAAAGTTTGTCTTATTTTGTTAGGATTAATAGTGAAAATCACAAAAAATCACGAGTAAATTACACTTTGCATCCCTATATTTTGCACTAAATTTCACTTTGATCCCTACATATGAAATCGTGACAGTTAACCCCCTGTACTTTTGGTCAAATTCTACTTTAGTCCCTATACATGAAATCGTGTCAGTCAACTCCCTGCACTTGGTCAAGTGTCAATGTCCCATTCTGTTACTATATTGTTTAAGTCTTTAATAGGAATTCAGTCTTATGATAAATATGTGACTACAAAATGAGGATAAGAGAAGAAAATTATCCATATTTTCCACCAATACATACTTTGTCTCACGTGATAAACATGTAAGAAAATTAGGACAAAAAGTAAAGAAAACATAACTCTTTTCAAATAAATAAAGGTAGCAGAGAAATTAAAAAAAGGAAAGAGGAATATTCTATCGTTATTGTGAAAAACAGAGTTTTGTGATTTCTATTTCTACAAAAAATCTTAATATGTCCCTTTAATTGTTCATAATTTATGTTTTGTTTTAATCGAATATAGACAAAATATGATGTAAATTTTGGGATGTGTATAGCCAGGAAATGTGCATGATTTTCCTCCTTTGCTCTTATTTTGTAGTCACATGTTTGTCGTATTACTGACCTTTATTAAAGATTTATATGGTAGAGTAACAAAATGGAGACATTGATACTTGACTAGAAATGTAAGGGTTGACTATCATGATTTCATGTGTAGGGACCAAAAGATCTGACTAGAAGTGTAATGGCTTGATTGTCATGATTTCATATATAAGGGCTAAAGTGGAATTTGGTGCAAATTCCAAACTGCAAGGGTGCAAATTATAATTTACCTAGGAATTTTTAGAAAATACAAATATTCACACATTCAATAAATTAGAAAAATGTAAAATTTTAAGAAGTGAATATTTTTAAATGCATTCATACTGACTTTCGTACTTTCTAAATAATATCTTAATAATTAAAAGTATAAATGTTCAGATTTACAACTTCCACACTTATTACAAAATTCACACTATTATAATGCAAGGAAGATGAGTCTCATGACAAAATATTTCTCAAAAGTATGAAATTTTATAAGTGATTTTTTTTTCACAATTTCAAATTCTAAAAAAGTGTATATTTTTTTTTTCATTTTACATAATTTTGTATTTAATTGAGAACGATTTGACTGAGTAGTTATAAAAAAGGGATTAAATTCATTTTACCTTTTATGATTTAAATATAGTTAGAAAATTCCCAAGTGATTTTGGAGGATTAAAGTGTCGTTAATTTGTTCATTCAAATTGATGGAAGGTGTATTACACACAATATTTTAAATTGGGTTTAGTTTTTTGAAAAAATAACATGAAATTAATATGGTAGAGTAACAAAAGGGAGACATTGATACTTGACTAGAAATGTAAGGGTTGACTATCACGATTTCATGTGTAGGGACCAAAAGATTTGACTAGAAGTGTAATGGCTTGATTGTCATGATTTCATATATAAGGGCCAAAGTGGAATTTGGTGCAAACTGCAAACTGCAGGGGTGCAAATTATAATTTACCTAGGAATTTTTTAAAAATACAAATATTCACACATTCAATAAATTAGAAAAATGTAAAAATTTAAGAAGTGAATATTTTTAAATGCATTCAACTAACTTTCGTACTTTCTAAATAATATCTTAATAACTAAAAGTATAAATGTTCAGATTTACAACTTCCACACTTATTACAAAATTCACACTATTATAATGCAAGGAAGATGAGTCTCATGACGAAATATTTCTCAAAAGTATGAAATTTTATAAGTGAATTTTTTTTCACAATTTCAAATTCTAAAAAAGTGTGTATTTTTTTTTTCGTTTTACATAATTTTGTATTTAATTGAGAACTATGAAATTTTATAAGTGAATTTTTTTTTCACAATTTCAAATTCTAAAAAAGTGTATATTTTTTTTTTTCATTTTACATAATTTTGTATTTAATTGAGAACGATTTGGCTGAGTAGTTATAAAAAAGGGATTAAATTCATTTTACCTTTTATGATTTAAATATAGTTAGAAAATTCCCAAGTGATTTTGGAGGATTAAAGTGTCGTTAATTTGTTCATTCAAATTGACAGAAGGTGTATTACACACAATATTTTAAAATGGGTTTAGTTTTTTTAAAAAATAACATGAAATTAATATGGTAGAGTAACAAAAGGGAGACATTGATACTTGACTAGAAATGTAAGGGTTGACTATCACGACATCCCCTAACTCAGAAATAGGAAATTAAAGGACGGTAGCAATCAAAATACAATAGCAGGAGCTACGGAACCTAAGTCCGGATATAATAAACAAATGAGAAAAGACCGGGGTCGCTATAATAATTAAAAATTGATCTAAAATATGATTAAATTAAAATTAGATTTAAAATTTAGCAATTACAATAACTAATTGAATATTTAAGATTAATTGTAATTTAAAATATAATTAAATTAAAATTAGAATAAAAAGTTAAGAATTACAATAAATGATTCATAATATATAATTAATTGTGTTTTAATTGAATAAATGTTTAAACATTATAAACTATGTATATTAAAGGGTATTATGGTGATTTTACATCTCTAATGTTAATGGTTCCACTTTAGTTCAAAATCATATGACGAGATCTTTCTGACTATTTTTGAATTATAAGGGTAAAGTGCTTTAGCCTTAAATCACAAGGGGATAAAATAAATTTTGCCTCATAAAAAATCTAAATTATATATAAAAAAAACAGATGTTCATTTTAAAAGTTGTAAAATTTTAAAGTTTTGAAACATTAAAAAAAGAAAAAAAAGAAGTCTTTCACATAAGCATGTTAATCAACTAGGCCTAACCCAGTTGGCTATTATGACTTTCTTAAGAGTTTAGTCCATAGGGGAGGTCATAGGTTTAAATCTCCTTAAGGGAGTTGAATTAAAGAGGCAATCACTTGACTTTGTAAAGAATGCAGAGGCTAACTCTCACAGGTATTAATCTAACAATCAACAATTGACTTTCACCGATCAATATATATATATATATATATATAAATATAAGCATGTTGACCAAAATAAGGATAAAATTGTCATAAAAAAACAACTAATTTCTATAAAAGGATTTCTAATATACAATTTCATACATATATAGAATTTATTGGATCACATTTTATTTCCATAATATTTATGGCTAAACAAATTCTGGAAAAGAGGCTTTTCACAGATTTTTCCTACATTTAAATGGATTCTATTTTGTTATGATTATTAACGTACAAATATTTGTGAATGCTTTATGTAGTATCTATAATTTCCCATCTCTCCCCAAGCGTTTCTCTGGTGTTTATCATATTTTCAGAATTTAAAAAAAGAAAAAGGAAGTTTTTGGTAGAGAGAGGCTCAAGGTATGATAAACACTGTCTGATTCATAAATTTAGAGAGGGATTTAGAAAGGGAATAAAAAAGGTAAAATATAAATTAAAAAGAAAAAACTAAATGTTTTTTTTTTTTGAAAAAATTGAAAAATTAAATTAATTTTTTGGATAAAATTAAAAATTTTGTGTCTATAAAGAAGCATGATGATGAAACATTGATGTGAAAAAAAAAAAAAAAAAAATTTAAAATGAAAAAATTGATAATGTTCTCGGTTTTTTTAAATAGTTGAATCAAACTAATAAGTAGAAGGGCAAAAACATTTAATCCCATATTCTGTTTTTTTTTTCCCCATTACTATATAAAATTGATAATGTTGTTAGTTTTATAAATTGGGAAAAACTGATAATATTCTCAGTTTTACTAAATAGAATTTATTGATTTAAAAAATCTTAGATAGGACCTGAGTAAGTATAACATTTGTAAATAGCACTTTTAGGTAATTAACTCTTTCCACCTAGTTAATGTTAATATTTTTTTCCCGCGTTTTTTTATTTTCCTAATCAGCAAAAGAGAGAATTTTATCTTCACTTTTTATTTCTCTTCTTTGATATCTCTCTTTTTGTTTTACCTGCAGATACAGATTGGGAGAGCTTTATCCTCTGAAATTCGAATCTCAAACTAGTTTCTTCTTCAATATTTGTTTCAAAAAAAAAAAAAGAAAAAAAAAAGAGAAAAGGTGGATTGAAAATGAGTGCCCTGCAAGGTGTATTTTCAATTGTAGGGGCAATTACAGGGAGAATAGTTGAGCCAGTGATCCAATTAGTGGTGCTCCACGTTGGTTTTGTTGTTCAGTACAAGAAGAAGCAGGAGAAACTAGAAGTCGAAATTAAAAACCTTGAAGAGAAGAGAAAACTAATCGAAGAAAAAGTTGATGAAGCCATTACTCGTGGTGAAGAAGTTGATGAACCTGTTTCAAATTGGCTAGTAGAGGTGGAAGAAAGACTTCAGAAAATTAAGGATGACAATATTATTAATGAAAACATGCAGTGCTTTAAATTCTCATGTCCGGATTACATCTCGCGATACCGTATGAGCAAGGAAGCCGAAAACAAGATGAAAGAAGTAAGAAATCTCACTCAGAGTGGCAATTTTAGCACAGTTGCACATCCTAAGCCATTTGCTCAAGAACTTCAATTCCCATCATCAAGTGCAAACTATGCAAATTTTGAGTCGCGAAAATCGGTTTGCGAGAACATCATGGCGGCATTACAAGATTCCAATGTTAAAATGATTGGAGTATATGGAACAGGAGGAGTTGGTAAGACGACAATGGTCGAAGAGATTGGCAAACAAGTGAAAAATAGACTTTTTGATGAAGTCGTGGTGGCAGTTGTCTCTCAGGACGCAAATGTGAGCAATATTCAAGGGCAACTCGCTGATCGCTTAAGTATGAAACTAAAAGGGGAAACTGAAGTGGGAAAAGCAAATGAACTGTGGAATAGATTAAACAATGGGAAGAAAAATCTCATTATATTGGATGATATGTGGCAAGAATTGTATATTGGATGATATTTGGCAAGAATTGAACTTGAAGACAATAGGTGTTCCTATCACAGATGGAAACAAAGGTTGCAAAATTGTGATAACATCTCGAATCCGAGGTGTGTTGGAGAAGATGGAAGTTGATAGATATTTTCCAATGCAAGTATTATTAGAGAAAGAAGCATGGGCCCTGTTCAAGAAGAAGGTGGGAAATTTTGTTGACTCTCCTGAACTCCATGATATAGCTGATGCAGTTTGTAAAGAGTGTGGAGGCTTGCCGGTTGCTATACTTGCAGTTGGAGCTGCATTGAAAGATAAGAAAAAATATGTCTGGGAAGATGTACTTGATCAATTCAAAGATTCCATGCTCAAGAATATTGCGGGAATCGAGCCAAAGGTGTATGCTTCCTTAAAGTTAAGCTATGATCGGTTAGAATCTAGTGATGCCAAATCGTGCTTCTTGCTGTGTTGTTTCTTTCCTGAAGATGCTAATATTTCAATTGAAGTGTTGGCGAGACACTGCATAGCAAGAAGTTTGCTTGGACAAAACACAAATACACTAATAAGAGCAAGCCGTCGAGTACTTACAGTGGTCGATATCCTCAAAGATGCTTGTTTGTTATTAGAAGGTGAAGATGAAAACTTTGTCAAAATGCATGATGTCATTCGAGATGTTGCTCTTTCAATTGCGAAAGATGATGGCAAGGAAATTCTAGTAAAACATGGTGACAAAAAATGGCCCGAGAAAGATACATGCGAATCTTCCTCAGCTATGTCATTAAGGTTCGACAACACTCTTGAGCTTCCGGATGATTTGGTATGTCCACAACTCCACACCTTGACCATACTATTGAAATGGAATATTAGTAATCCTTTGCTTAATGTTCCAGTTAGGTTTTTCAGTGGAATGGAGAAACTTACAATTTTAGAATTGAATAGAATCTGTATGTTGCCTCCATTATCTCTTGCAAAATTGGTTAACCTTCGGATGTTAAGTTTAAATGATTGTGAGTTGGGAGACACAGCTATACTCAAGGATCTAAATAATAACCTTGAAATACTTAGCGTTCGAGGTTCTAATATCGAGGTTTTGCCATCAGAGATAGGACAATTGACTCGTCTTCGGTTGTTAGATGTGCGAAATTGGGAAAAGCTCACAGAGATTCCACAAGGTGTCATATCCAATTTGTCTCGCCTGGAAGAATTGTACATTTTAGGTGATTTGGGGCCACGGAAGCCCATAAGAAGCAAAGTGAATCTTGATGAGTTGGGGAAATTGACGCAATTAACCACTTTAGAGATTCACATACCAAATGTCATGCTATTGCCCAAGGACTTCTGCTTTGAAAACTTGATCAGATTTAAAATAGTAATGGGTAAGGAATTTGATTTTTGTGGAACTTATGATTCTTTTTTTAGAACTTATTCAAAGTCGTGTAAACTTGCGGGTGTTTCCTTAATGGACAAGTTAATCGTTTTGTTGATGAGAGCCGAACAACTACATTTGCAAAAAATTGAAGGTTTACAAGAGGTGCTGCATGACAGAGGTGCCCCATCAGGGTTCTTCAATAATTTAATTGAATTAACAGTTCGAGATTGTAGGTTGAAATATCTCTTCTCCCTGTCCTGTGCAAGAGGATTTCCACGACTCCAGAGACTACGAATATTTGATTGTGAGATGATGGAAGCAATAGTTGGAATTGAAGAAGAAAAAGATGAAGATGAACTCTCAAGTCCGGTAATTAATTTCAGTCAGTTGAAATATTTGTGTCTCTGGAACCTACCCAAGCTCATAAGCTTCTACCCCAAAGTGGAGAAGATGTCAACATCTGAAGGAAATTCTTCTACCCAGGCACAATTTTTGTTTAATGAAAAGGTATGCTTTATCTATACCCTTTTTATTTGCTTTAATCCATTATAAAATGTTTTATGCATTAGGAATAGAATCAAACAGTGCTAGGGTATTTTCAATAAAAATCAAAATTGTTAATCCCTAAAAAAATCACCAAATGGTTGGTCACACCGTGGCAAGCATGAAATAATTACAACAAATTAAGATTTTAAAAATAAAAAATTCTGAATAAACTTAATTTTTAAGAACAAAATATTTAAGTTGCTAAAAGTGTCATTGTATGTTTAGCGATGAAATTAGATATTTAGTGATAAAATTATTTTTATCGTTTGACCATAATTTATCTAAGAAAGTGAATATCTTATGCCCCAAATTGTTTTCTTTTAAAGTGTATTTTATTAACCACATTTTTAAAATTTTGATACAAAAGTAGACAAAGCCATATAGATTTGCTACTAAATGAAACTAATGTGCTCCTAGCCCCCTACCCATAATCTATATGAAGTAAAATTTAGATGAAGCCCCAAAGCAGTAATCTAAATTTTTTATTTTAAATGTTAAAAATACTCATTACATAGAAATATTGGTCCATCTAACTATATACCATAATGTGACTTTCTAAACTAGTTCAAATTTATGTTTGACAGGTAAATTAACCTAGCAAAAAACTTATGCCAGCATGCTTGTGTGATTTTTATTTTTTATTTTTAAATCGATATAAGATTAATTATAATATGAGAAATATTATATCAAACTAGACAATTAAAATTCAACAGTAGACAAAGCCATATAGATTTGCTACTAAATGAAACTAATGTGCTCCTAGCCCCCTACCCATAATCTATATGAAGTAAAATTTAGATGAAGCCCCAAAGCAGTAATCTAAATTTTTTATTTTAAATGTTAAAAATACTCATTACATAGAAATATTGGTCCATCTAACTATATACCATAATGTGACTTTCTAAACTAGTTCAAATTTATGTTTGACAGGTAAATTAACCTAGCAAAAAACTTATGCCAGCATGCTTGTGTGATTTTTATTTTTTATTTTTAAATCGATATAAGATTAATTATAATATGAGAAATATTATATCAAACTAGACAATTAAAATTCAACAGTAGACAAAGCCATATAGATTTGCTACTAAATGAAACTAATGTGCTCCTAGCCCCCTACCCATAATCTATATGAAGTAAAATTTAGATGAAGCCCCAAAGCAGTAATCTAAATTTTTTATTTTAAATGTTAAAAATACTCATTACATAGAAATATTGGTCCATCTAACTATATACCATAATGTGACTTTCTAAACTAGTTCAAATTTATGTTTGACAGGTAAATTAACCTAGCAAAAAACTTATGCCAGCATGCTTGTGTGATTTTTATTTTTTATTTTTAAATCGATATAAGATTAATTATAATATGAGAAATATTATATCAAACTAGACAATTAAAATTCAACAGTAGACAAAGCCATATATTGTATCAATGGAAAATGCCAACTGAGTTGTGATACACGTAGTAGCTTGAAAATTTCTGAAGTTCTAACGTTTATGCTATAAAAAACTTTTGAGACTCTTAAAAAGGTTCTTTCAATTTGATCAACAATAATGGAATGATCTATTAAGTGTCAATTTTTAATTTTTCACAAATCTAGTCATATAGGACATAATTTTCTTGCCACATCATTTTGGATGAATTATAATATTTAAATTGTGATTTTCTGATATTTCTATTATAAAATCTAATAGTAAATGGGATTCAAACTCAAACATTACCATCAAGCCTAGACACCAAAAAATATACTCTTATTTAGGAGATTCTATAAGTTTCTAATTTCAATATTCTAGGTGGAATTTAATGTGTTTTTAAGTCAGAAAATTCTACAATACACACCCTTTAAAATGATTATTTTAGTTATGATTTATGAGATCATATGTATCTCTAGTTATGACATTATTTTAGTTCTGACTTGTAAAATCTTTGGTTATACCTTATGTAGTATTTGGTTATAACTTTTATTTATTTATTTATTATTTTATTATTATTATTTTTTCAACTAAATGTTTTAAAATAATATTATCTAAACATGTATTCAAGAAATGTTGTCATGCTAAGAGTGGGAATAGGCCAGATCGGTCACTTGTTTATGGTAATACTTATTATTATTAATAATAATATTTGATATTGTAATAAAACTCAATAAAGTATAATAGTTAAATATAATATATAATTTATACAAAAAAATAAAATAAAATCAAAAGGATAAAAGAAAAACCCAAACAAATATACAAGGAATAAGGTTCAAACATTAGTAGGACGACTATCCTGATAAGATGCAATATAATATTTGTCAATAGAAGTAAGGACCCCTAAAAAACAACCTTTATTGAGAAGGGAGAGGATCTCCTTCAGTCCAAATTTTGAATTGGAGTGTGCCGTTTGAGCTCGTGAGGCCCACCACGAGTCTCATTTTGATGATTTGAAAAGTTTATTTTGTCGGGCACTTCGTTTATTTCATCCAAAAAAATAAAAAATAAAAAAATAGGTCAATCGCATAACTGTAATTTGTTTAATTTTTCACTAAAAAAAATAGACAACAATTGTGTTTTTAAAAATAAATTATACATTTTTCCAGTGAGAAACGTAATAAAAAAAAAAAAAAAAAGGTCAATCGCATAACTGTAATTTGTTTAATTTTTCACTAAAAAAAATAGACAACAATTGTGTTTTTAAAAATAAATTATACATTTTTCCAGTGAGAAACGTAATAAAAAAAAAAAAAAAAAAAAAATAGGTCAATCGCATAATTGTAATTTGTTTAATTTTTCACTAAAAAAAATAGACAACAATTGTGTTTTTAAAAATAAATTATACATTTTTCCAGTGAGAAACGTAATAAAATAAAATAAAATAAAAAAATAGGTCAATTGCATAACTATAATTTGTTTAATTTTTCACTAAAAAAAAATAGACAACAATTGTATTTTTTAAAATAAATTATACATTTTTTCAGTGAGAAACGTAATAAATTGAACAAGTTATAATTATGAGATCGACCAAATTTTTTGTGTGGATGAAATACACGAAGTGCCTGATAAAATAAATGTCACGCCCTCAAAATAAACCCATTTATCATATATTCTTGACATGCTTAGACAAAAGAGAATAAAGCATAATTTCATAAATCAGAGTATTCTTACAAATGTATTACATGTTAACAATAAAAGCAAATGCCCTATGGGCTTACAGCTTTCCAAGTCAACA